ACCTCATATACTGTATCACAGATCAGAAAATATATCAACATAAACATCACAGCAGCATTAGCCCTAGCAATAAAATAAATGAAAGAAATTCTCCATTAATTTCTATAGCTACTGCTTATCACTCAGGCTAAAGCCATCGTCATATGAGAAAAAAGTTTCAGGTAGCAGAGCTATCACAAGTTGCGTTCAATACTGTTTGGTGGCACTGTCTCTTCAGTTGGAATAATATGCCTGACGTAGATATCTGTGGCAGTATGCTTAAACCTTAAATCATTGTTTACATCTAACATGTTTACAAAGGCAAGAATTTCTCCTCCATTATTATAAAAGAAGTTTACAACCCCAAAGACTTTGGTATTCTCCTCACTGTTGAAGACTACTGTCTGTGGCATGTTCAGCAGAATTACACAGGGAAGAAAAGATTGTTTTCCCTCGTTGCAAAAGAAAAAGAATAAATGGTTTCAAACTAATACCACACTAGAAGCTCACAAATTGCGTTCGAAACTGTTTGGTGGGATGCACATGTAATTGCCAACCTTAATCAGTTTGCAAATTATGTCATCAAATTTAATGACACATATTTCCTCTGTATCAAAAGTAGGGACAATATGGTTGACACACAGGTTTGTTGCATGATGCCTGAACCGTAAGTTATGATCTTCACCAAGTACATTAACAAAGGCAACTACAACTCCTTCACTCTCATAAAAATATTTAATAACACCAAATAATGTTTTTTTTATTTCTATTAAAGCAGACACTTTTATTGTTTGTTGCTCTCTCTGCAGTGTAACTGATGGATGTATATATTGTTTTCCCCATCTGAACTCTTCCATACAAAGGAACTCTTCGCTGAGCAGCAGGGAAAAGCTGATGTAGAAGTTCAAGTTCTTGCTCACTCAAGTCAGAATAAAACACTTTGCCCTTGACAAGTGGTCTTGATCTACATTCTTCATCTTCAGTTGAGAGCACATTTTTTAAAGTGACATTTGCAATGTGCCTTCCGAAGACATTTCCAAATTCTTGAGATATGTGAATGGTGCCATGCAAATTTCTTACTATGACACCGTTGTAACCTTCAAAGAGAAACGTAGAAGTAGCCCAGAGGCCGCCCCATCTCTTCACCATAAGGGCCATGTGTTGAAGTCCATGCACATTATACGTCATTGCTTCTTTGCCATACAAGTTTTGGGCCTCTTCTGCAAACACAGAGAGAAGCAGCCTGGCCATTTCAATATCATCTTGAGGAATCACTTCTTGCAGGAGCAAGTTCATAGCAATGACAAGAAGTAGCCAATGCTGGAAGTACTCTTCACGTAAATTGTTGTGCAATGCAGGAACAGACACAAACAAAAGCCACACAAGCCACGCAGATGCCTTGTTAGCCTTGAATTTCGCAGTATACTTGGGGAACCTTGTAAATTCATAGATTCTTTGGATAGAAATCAGAAATCTGTCAATAGTCTTTGATTTACTGCCAATATACCAAGGTGGCTTATGACCTTTTTTTGTTGGCAATCCATTTTTCTCACCTTTTATCCACATCTGGAAAAACTGACGAGTCACCCCAAGAAGGACTAAGTGCATGTAATCATAAATGAGCGCATTTCCTCTGTTGCAGTATGGAATTGAGTTCAAAATGGAATCACCTCTTACACCTTTGCAAACAATACCATCTGTGAGCACTGAATTTTGTTGAGTATCCATAACATCTTTGTCTCTTAAAACTAAATCTTCATCTTCAATATATGGAAAGATCGTTTTCGTCCCTTTGCCATGCTTGATTCGCTCACCTTCAATTTCACAAATATTACAACTGTAGGCTCCACTGTGAGAGGTGATATTCTGCAGCATAGCTCTTGCAGGGGCATCTAGAGTGTAAGCAGGGGCAGTTCCTCTGGTGGTATGAACCACCTTGGTTTTCGGATGGGTCCACACAACCCCTTTTTTACACAAATCTGCAGTACTCTTGGCAAATGGCACCATGAAACCATTCATGTATGGCTTTTTTTTTCCATACCAAATTTGGGTTACCATAGTGAAAACTTTTCTGAGGCTTGGTGGAACCTCACAAATGGTGTATGTGAGGGCCCATATTTCTTCACATGAGTTTTTATGTGGAGATAAACCATCAGCATTAGTGAGTAAAATAACATCATACTTGCCATTGAACTTGGATCTCACTGTCAAATATTCCTCAGCTGTACAAATATCAGAACAATTTCCTGCTTTAGTTTTGTAGGAATCCATAGCATCTGCTAAGTTCCTCTCTTCAAAGAGGTACTTTATCTGAGTTGTCAAGGGAAACTCATAAAATTGCTTTTCAACTGTCTCTGTAGTACATACACAATTATTCTGTCTTTCTTCGGTCGTTCCAAGGTATGCCCCACAATTCTCACAGCAGAAATGAGGCACACATAAATCAGGTGGTATAAAAGGGCCAATTTCTTTCTCAAAGAAATAAGGAGTTGGTGGAAAAGTATTGTGTCTTGGTAGTAAATTGTGAGTATACACCACTAAATCATTAAGTAATGCTTTAGAAACAGTGTGCTTGCAGCACAAATCTAGCAGCTGGGATACAGCCTCACCCTTTGTGTTCTTCGATCCTGGGAACAATGGAATGTTCATAGGTCTAGTATCATATTCACAATCAGATTCAGATGAGCTGTTCACATTTTCCTGACCACTATCAGAACTGAACTCTGGACTACCATTTGTTTCTATACTAGACTGTGAACTTGATTCACTATCCATGCCTCCATCGTCATCATTGATAACTTCCTGGTGAACTTCAACAGTTAAATCTGCTTGGGAGTCATTATTAAAAGCTTGATGTCCTGCGTCCACAAGATTTGCTTGATCTGGGTCGGAAACTTCACCTTCATCTCTGTCTTGAGCCATCCATCGTCGATAAGTTTCCCTTGGAACCTGAAGCAACAGCAAAATGTAGTTATATATTAACACCTCTCATTGAATACGATAGCAGAGGTATCTGTTTCAGTTTGGGAAGTCAGAAAACATACTTTTCCTCCCTTCAACCATTGTTTTCTCTTTTTAGATGGTGGTTGTGGCTCATTTTCTTCTGATTCGTCTCCACTCGACATATTCTGAAACAATACAGTCATTAACCAAACATTTGATTTGATTTTGATGCAGCAAAGACAAATAAGCATCCCAGGTTAAACTTACAGAGCATGATACTGAAGACTGTAATTAGCACCTTTCAAATCTTGGCGTCAATCACAATACAGCTATGGAAATGCAAAACCACGAAATTGTACAACATCCACTACTTTCACGTTCGAAAATTTGCTCTCATCACCAAACAAAACTGTTAGGTGAATTTAATTTGTTTCTTTTACTTAGTTTGTTGTTTACACTCGATCACCGCCTTTCCTCATATGTTGTCATATGTCGGCTTGTTGGGTTGGGTTGTTCATGTTGACAATCGTAAGATGTACTTTACATGGAAAATATAAACATATATTCGTATCACAATCCTTAAAGAATGTATTTAAATGAAGAACCGCTTTTTAAAATTGTTAATTTAACTTAGTTTAAAAAATCCAGAAGGGAAACGGCTTCATTGGATGCTACAAAATTACCGTAGTTAGACACTATGAGCAACTGCAAAAAAAAAAAACTTCTGATATCAACTGGACTATTCCAGTTATTAGCAATTTTCAGCAATTTTAATCATCTATTTCCTTAACATTGCGACCTATTCCTGCAGCTTAAGTTTTGTTTTATACTTGAAGTAATCGTTCATGTTTTTTGATTTTACTTGGTCATCCTCGGCCATTCACACGGCTTTTCCGTCACTTGTCCCGCCAACCGCCATTACTCTTGACGCTCTTGACTCGACCAGCGCACCACCTGCCAGCTCTGCTCTGCTGCTTGTGCTCGAGGAGTTTCAAACTTTTAGTTTAAAGTTTGTGCCGATCATTGATCAATTAGTATCACTAAGTTGCATTGATCCCGCTTATTTACAATGGGAAAACGATCGGGATCTGCAGATAACGATGGTAAGTAAAACTCGCTTTTCCTATCGCCGGCACCGTTTAAGAGACCGGCAGATATGTGGTGCCTTTCTCTTGCCAAAGCACTTTTATTCATCGATTGGATGATGTGTTCCGCAATTTTCAGTGCGGATTCCAAATCATTCGAACCTAACCTGTACAGAACTCCATGTGCTCTCTCGCAGCTCATTGTTTCCCAAACCGTCAAGTGGGGCATCCACCCCATATCAGCAACCGAAATACTTTCGTTTTTTACCAGCATTACCTTTTGAGATCTTTTGTTTTGATTTCGTTTAAGATATAACAACATTTTAAAACTTTTGCCAATCCCTTTTGCCGCATTGCCATAGACTTTAAATTATCCTCTCATTCAGTTATTCCCTGATTGTTGTGTACCAATAGACCTTTTACTTTGCTCTACACAGATTGCGCTCTTCTTAAGAGATCACGTAAGAAACCGAGGAACCATGACTCACTGAGAGCTGAGAAGAGTATCGAAGAGAAGAAATTGATACGGGAAAGGAGGAAGGAGCGGAAGCAAAAGAAAAATAAGCAGCTTAACTCAATGCCCGCTTCATCAGCAGCCCTCAAGCAGCCAGCCAAATCCAAGGTTTGATAAGTTTAGATTCGCAGTCATGTTCCTCGGGAAACCTTCGTTTTATTCTGCTCAGATAATACACTTTTTTTTATTTCTAGATCTCCAAACTTCAGCTGACGGCAGCAAACAATCAATCACAGATGATCAAGAGTCTTACCGCAGTGGCCACTTCTACACCAATCGCAAATCATGCACCTGGTATGTTTCAAAAAGTTTTCATTTACTGTGTATTTGTTATTGACTGTAACTTTAGTCGAGGGTCAGTGTGAGAAGCCCATAACATTCCTTATTTTGGAGAGTCAAAATATTTCCTCCAAGAGTGTCAGTCAAATTTACCTGGGCTCAATAATACCTGTTCATATACATGTGTCTTTCTACAGCTTCAGTCAAAAGTGTAAAACAAGAGCCAGCTGCATCCAGCAAGGTGGCACCAGACACCTCCTCGTCTGATGACAGTTCAAGCAGCGACGATGAAACTCCCAAGAAAGTTAAGTCATCAGCGACGAGTGACAACGTACACATGGAGGATGAACAAGATTATAGTGAGAAGTCTGATAGTGAGAAGAATTGTGATGGTGAGAAGAAGTCTGCTGATGGTGAGAAGAAGTCTGCTGATGGTGAGAAGAAGTCTGCTGATGGTGAGAAGAAGTCTGCTGATGGTGAGA